CACACACACACACACACACACACACACACACATGAGCATGCATGCCCACACACACAAACACACACTCGAACAAAGACATACAGTGCCACTCTGACATGACCCCTTTTTTCCCTGATCAGGCACACCATTGCCCAAGGGGAAGCTGTACCAACTAGAAGCATACAGCTGACATAAGCTGCAACTGAACAGCCAGTTTGGGCCCCTGACCTGGCCCTTTGAGAAGACTACAACAAACTTCACAAAACACTCCTTTTCACCTGGTTGCCTTTCCCAGATAAAGGAAAGATCGGCCCCTCATTCATCCAGCCTGTTCTGGTGGCTGCGCCTTCAAAATAATCATCCCACAAGCAGACGGAAATATTTACCCAACACAGCATCTCTACTGATGTGCGTTGTACAGGCACACGGACATGCGACGCTATGTCACAAACTGACGCTATTCCATTTCTTCAAACGAATTCAGAGCACTCGCAAACCAATCTTTCAGACACCCAACAACTTGTAAATGCAATCATTCGCCGCTTTTTGCACAGCAGTTTACTTGGGATGCTCACCGAGCCTCAGAAGATGGTTGTGCTTTCACGAACCCACAGATCCGTCCGACTGTCCCAAAGGTGATGATGCCTCGGTCGGAGAGAGACCATTTGTTGGGCTTCCGCTGCTGCCCGACGTGAACGAGCCAAGAATTCCATTGTCACCCTTCATTTGCAGCATTACGTCGTCGTGAAAAGAAGATGCTGCAGACCCGGGTGCAGAGCTGCCGATATTCCCGGTACCCCCAGTGAGTGAGTTGCTGCTGCTGCGATTAGGGCGAACTCTCACATTCACACCAACTGGAAAAGGCTCCTGCGCATGCAGAAACGCCAGCAGGGCACATTTCACACGCATTAACATACCGTTTTTAACAAGATACATGGACATCTTGTCACCAGTAAAAATCTCCCCTCTAAACACACTCTCTGGGCATCGCCACACCACTCTCGAAATGTGCAAAATGATAATGAACTTCCTGCTAGAACATGGCCAGATGCACCCCCCATAGTTTTGTCTTTTTCACATTTCGAGAGTGGTGTAGCGAGGCCCTCTAGATGCCACCAATGACCTGGCTGCCAAACAGAATGGCAGGAGGAAGAGGGCATAACAGCCTCCTTGTGTAAGCGATCGATCCCTGTACAGGAGAGCGATCTCCTCGATGCAAGTCGAATATCAACCCTTCGCGCTGAGTCGTCCGCCTAGGCCACACGCCCACCTTACGGAGGGGCACCATTGCGCCGGAGAATAGAAAACCTGGAGTCCTTACACACAATCCTGGCCGAGAGGACTGCATCTTCCGTGTTTCCTTTAACAGTATCCTTCGTGCCGACAGAGGTTTTGCCCACACGACGAATCGATTAAAAGCACGCCTTGTTCATAAACATCGTCATAGAGAACTGCCTAATAAACGAGGGGCTATGACTGACTGTTTTGGAGTTTCACAGACATGTATACATGGTCATAGAGAATTGCTCCCTGGACCTTAGGCAGAAAGGGAGAAAAGGACAACAAATGCAGGGCTAAGACAAACTTTGCACAGTGTTTCATCCATTGATCAGGAGACTGAACTGTCTACGGTCCGCAGAACCCTAACAAATGAGAAGGTAAGTATTTTATTACCCACCCTAACCCCAGTTGCAGATGAGCATCAATGACTACCTCATAAACGATGCCCTGAGGTGGGAACCAGCCTCCGCCCTCAGGGGTACCCTGTGACGAAAATCAAACCCGACCATATATATTATGTACCGTTACAGATATATACACATGATGATGCTCTTCGACTGACATTCATCAGCACCAGTTTTTGCCAAGCCTCTCTTCACTCCTTGAGGAGAATAAGGTACACTATACAGAGTGCGAGAGCTTCGCAACATAAGACGTCCCACACATGCGTGGGCCACGCAGCCGGAAATTGAAAAGGAGGGGGCTCAAGTTTCACATCACACACTGCCAGAAGTATGCACTTAGAGAGATAGAAAGAGAAAGAGTGACAGAGAGAGGGGGAGGGGGGGGAAGAGGATTCCACCAGAGGTTTCCATCAGATGTAAAAGGAGGTGACCTTAAGGACACTCCAGGCAGAGACAGAGGAGCCACAGTAAAGACGAGAAAGAGAGAAAGAGGAAAAGGGGGAAGAGACATGGAGAGAGGGGGGGAGGGAAGGAAGAAGGGAGAGAGGGAGAGAGGGAGAAGGACAGAAGTCAATTGGCAATTGAGAACGAGAGGGACGATTCCCTGAATAAGGCGTCACTCACATATTTATGACACTGATACCTGGTCTCCCACGTGAGGACCATCGGAGTGGAAGAGAATCGGCCGACACCGCTTATCCTCATTCATGAGACTTGAATTCTGAAAATGAGCAACCAGCGCAGCCTGCAGACGATACATCCAGAAAAGGACAAACTTCCACTTTCAACACTTACACCACCACCAGCATCAATCAACATCACAATAGTCCACTATATTTGCAGGCACAAAACCAAAGCCCACACCTCAAACAGAGGGATGCCTCATTCTAGCTTCGCACTAGATTCACAATCCAAGCCTCCAAGGTACTAAAAAAAAAAAAAAAGCTGCCTCTGAAATGTAGTAATATGCAGGTCCCACTGGTGCTATCTCCATGCCAGGAAAGCTCGAGGCTGATCAGGATAATGTTTTCCTACCACGAATATAGCACCAGTGGGGCCTGCACCTAGCAATGGATTTCTGAATTTTTGCAGGGCAAAAAAGGATTCCAGTGGTCTAAAGGTCTTATACGTAGCTTGATTACCCAACTGGCTAAAGATTCTTCCCGATACCATCACCGCATATGCATCGGTTAATTGTCTAACAGGAAAGATCCAGACAATTCGATTGGACAGAAGAGGACGCTAGGGACACAGCCAGCATGCCTCCCCCTGACTCACACACAGTCTGCAAGAAAAAGAAAAAATGAAAATACATGACAAAAAGATAAATCGTTCCCTAGAATTGTGAAAATATCATTCGAGACCAGAAACTCTCTACGTTCGAAAGAAAGAAAGCAAAGAGATTAGTGAAGGTGCACCCATTTACAAGTGCAATTAGAATTCAACCCCCGTTCGTAGTCCCCATCCTCCCATATTTACACAAAAGTACCATTCCTTTTTTTCAGAAGCCGAGAAGTGCATATCCTGCCAAGCATCCATTCCTTTTTTTCTTTTCTTTTCTTTTAATTTGGACCATTCCTCGATTTATGTGTGTCATCCTTGCGCAGGTGCCATGCTAATCTTCTCTGTATCGTTCCAATTTTAACGGATGTCCGCAAGGACACCAAATATCCATTCCTTTCCTTGTCCTTTTTCAATTTCTGCTCTGTTCTTGTTCTCACTGCTTTTTCCTGGGCGGAGCAGGTCCGGCCCACACCACACTTCCTCCTCCTCGGGAGGACAGCTCTAGTAGCCCTTAGTGTGTGTGCATAGATCGACAACATGAGAATCAATGAATCCACATATTCATAACAGTCTGGCTGGTTGTGGAAGTCTTAGGAGTGGCTTTCCAGCCCCGGTCAGGTGTTAGGAGCCTGGGTGCTGCTCCCCTGCAGAGCAGAAATAGGGAAGGTCTACGTAATTCCGAGGGGTCCATATCATACATGCGGTGCATCGACGTGCGCTGCACCGCGCACAGCGCACGACGCGCGCACCGGTGGGGTGTCGCATCAAGAACCACAAAAAAAATAAAAACAAAAATTTGAGGCCGCGCGGGGCCTCCGAAAAACAAAAGGGGGGAGCTGAAGTTAGTTTTTTTGTTTGTGTGTGTGTGTGTGTTGTCATATTCGCTATACACTCAAAAAAAGCGTGTGTGTGTGTGTGTGTGTGTGTGTGAGAGAGAGAGAGAGAGAGAGATGGCGGGAAGAGGGAGAGAGAAGTAGCGATGGTGGATGGTGGGAGAAAGGCGGAAGGTGGGATGGTGGGAAGCGGCGGAAGAAGTAGGGAGGGG